TCCATTTGTGTTTTAAAATCGTAACGAATGCGTTTTTGCAAATTATTTTGTAATTCGTTCAATAATGAACTCTTAAATTTACTCCAAATACAGTAATCCATTGTTATACCTTCATACCATAAGCCATATTTTAATCTTTAGAGAAATTACCTCGCAAAACGGCTAAACCAAAAATCTGAATTTAATTCTAACCTCTTTCACAAGTGTTTGTTACATAATAAATTTCAATACATGAGTTTTCTTTATTGTTTTAAAACGCCAATTGTAATAATTTTCCAATCAGCTGATTATATTAATTTATTGTTGCCAAGCATCTGTTAAGATCACGTGGCATCTTTTCTGCTTGTAAGAAGATTTTTTGTTTGTTTTAAAACATAGTAACTAACATGATAGTTCATTATTAGGGCCTGAGGTGATTCTTTTCTAGACGAGCTCATTCAATAAACAAAGCGAAGACGAGTTTGAATATGAACTGATTGTAGCCAGCGAGGCTAAATAGGCTACATTTCTGGCCCGTGTGATGTACAGTATTTTGTTAACTATACTATAAGTTTACTGATTTTAGGTAGACAAACATCTGTTACCGTTATTTAGAAACACATATTCCTCCGCCAACAAAATAAATCTAATTTTGTCAAATTTGTCTAAATGTCGATAACATGTAAATTTTTATGTTGAAGTGAAACACAACGTGACTATGGTGAAAACATTTTGATAACGATTAAATATTATTTTTATCAATCAGGACTATTTCCTTCCGCATATGATTATTGTATACTTCATACAACAAATTTCAACTACATGATAAAAGAAATATAACGAGTTTGGATGGGTACTGCATTCAAACATATTATTTTTTAATCTACCATTTGAAGTAAGTTATTAAGTACAGTTTACAGAGTACTATTAATTTCTATTCCGTTGTCCGAGTTTGCAATAGATCAAGATCCCTGCGTTGTTCTGTCTCCTGTCCTAGGGAGGATTAAACTTTATGTTAAACACAATGTCCTCCTAGCTCCTGTCCTAACGTGTGTAGTACGTGTCCTCCGCCCCCCCCCCCTGCACATGTCCATTACAGTCTTTAAAATTGGTTAATTAGTAAATATTCTATAACGTTCTAAGTAACTTAGGACATATTATTCTTATAACAAGACTAACTAAAAGTAGTAGTAAGTAGTAAAAGTAGTAGTAGTAGTAAAGTAGTAAAGTAAAATATTAAGGTTTAAAGAGGTATTTCAACTAGATACGTTAAAAAGATCGCTCGAGACATTTCATACAATCAAATGATAGCAAACAAATTTCAATGTCAGTGAATTTCAAACAAGTACACCTGATGTCCTCGACTCCAGCTGATTATTTTTCGCCCTAGGGCACTTCTTTATTTCCACAACGCATGTATTAACCGTTTTTGCTGCAGCATAGGCCTACTAAAATAGCATATTTTTCATTTCACCACTAGGGCTTTATACTTTATATGTGGAATAAGTATTACTCCTCCGCCAACACCACCATTTATTTATAGGTATTAATTTATGAAACTAATTATATATGCATGTGTCTAAATGTTGTAAAAGTTGTATATATTGAGTAAAATATAGGTTTATAATATTACACGATGATAAACGCAAATACGAGTTTATAACGACTCTTTAGCCCCGTAAAGTATGTATTGAAAACAGCTGATTTTGCAGCAGTATGACGGGAAACAATTATGTCCACGGCTTTAAAGGAGATTGATATTGATATTTATTCATAAACGGAACATTATTGTATTGTAAATTGTAAAGCCTGTTTTCTTGCGTTTCATATTTGTATTTTCATACTTTTATTTTATGATAGATCGTACAGAGAGCGTTTTGCACTTTGTACGACATTGTACCAGAGAACAATATGTATAATAGTTGGTATAATACCGGATGTCCCGTAATACTCACCCCTGGTTAATTTTTGAACGGCTACATGTATTTAAACGAGCTTTGATACACGTTACTAGGGTAATGTAAAGTACTTTTTGGTGGTGTTTTGAAATTCACCCCCCACGCTTAATGGATTGCTGGGGGTAACTTACAAATTTTAAATAGCAACCCCTATCAAGTAGTAGGCCTACATCATTTTAAAAAGAAAATTATCGCCTTAAATCAGACTTTTATATGACAATAAAAAAAAGTTATAACAAGAAATTTTAGTTAATTTAACTGGAAACATTCCATCACTTTTATTTGTTCATGGCTGTAAATTTTCAAATAACCTTCAGTACACGTGACCATAGTAATGCCACACACTTTTTAACATGATATATTTCATCACCCGTCCCCAAATAGGGGTTGGTATTAAAAAAACAAAACCCCACCAGCAACCCCTACAACAATATATACCACCAAATATACAAGGGAGTACGTCAATTTATGATATAATTATATAAGAATATCACGGGAAGTCTGAGATTGTATAAGGTACCAGCTCAAATCAATACTTATAAAATTAAACGAAATAGCGAAAAATAATACTTAACGCGATAGCAGTTAGATTTTACCAACAGAACAATTGCTGTAATTACGGTTAATGTGGTGTTCATGGACTGTTTACTTCTCTATTCATCAAAACTCGAGACTTAACGGCCAATGTACAGATTACTCTTATAGCAGAGATAACCGGCGTGTCTTGCAAATGCCCTGATCGGCACGCTCAGCTCTGCACTCTGCACTTCTAGGCGAGGTCACTACACGGTTATGTTGCTCTAGGGATGATTGTGAACATTTTATATCACGATTAGTATAAATGGTTTATAAACTTTTGGATCTGAAATCCGATCCTGCGCTCTGGTGAAAAAGTATCTAAAACACAACAAATTTACTACAAAACACCCAGCAAAAAAGTACAACAACAATCATGAGAAATGTAACTTTAATCAAAACAAGAGTAAAAATACCCCGTTGCAGCAAACCTGCATACTAATCGAATTTCCGTTTGTCTATAATTCTATTTAAGTAAAATAGTTTAGTATATACCTAATTAATATTAAATAGTTTTTCTTTCTATAAAATAGTTCCTAAATTGTCAGACTTATACCCTACCTAAATATTATTAGGTTTAATTAGAACCATAGATAAAAAGGATTATAGACATATCTATGTTTATGTTTAATGTTTATTGCAATATTTCTCCCCTTAGGCTGACATTACATGACACATATTGTATATCATTTTAAAGCTTAAAATGTGGAGATGTTTTTTATACTATTTGACAGTTTTTAACACGACTTGATAACAAATTTTCTTAAGCGAGTTGTAGCACCCTTTTTATAGATTTTTCAAAATTTGTTATTTAAGTCAAATTCACAAACTTTTGAATGGGTTAAGCTGTACCATATTATACGGTTCCTGTTAGAAAATTTAATGAAAATTCTAAAAATGCAATTGAAAATATCATTATGTAGGTTAAAAGTTGAGAAATATGAGATTTTATCAGGCAATGTCAAGAAATTTGGAAAAATCTAAAAATGGCTGTTGCCGGAAGTTATAGTGAGATATAACTATCCAAATTGCGTATTTTTATAGCAATTTGCGTGCATAATAATGCCTTAAAATATTTGACACTGACTACCAAACACTCTGTATATGTATTGTATATATGAATTTGAAAACCGATTGTATTTTGACCCCTTGGTACATCCATACCAAAAGCAAATCGGTCCCATGACTAGGTATTACCATGTAACCTACGGTAATAGTTTCCTGTATGGGAAATTCGCTAAAACCAAATTAACATTGTCTTTGACTTCTGAGAACCCAAAAAAAATACAGTGGTCTCAGACCTATTGATCTTATCATGAACACACAGTGGTTCAAGACCAGAGTAGTCTTATTATGGCAACTCTGAGTGTGTGGCAATATTTATCTCTCAAGCTTGTCTGTGAGAGACAAAGTTACAAACTGTATTTTCTCATGAGCCACATTTTGTCCTCAGTGAAAGTGACAAGAAGATCTAGGCTACATGTAAGACCCTACACTGGCTGAGAGAACTTGATAACATTATCTTCACACTTTTACAATCCTCCATTTACCACCAAGAATTATCTTTACTGGCTTTTACTGCAAAATATATGAATTTTCATCTTTCCCTCCATAGAATGTCTTCTAGTTGAAACTACACACTTATATATGTGCGTTTTTAATCCTTGAAGTGTGTTTTCACAGATACAGATTATTTTGACTGTTGTACCCAAATTACTGAATACCAAAACTGACTTTTTAGATTTCATTGACCTTTTCAACATAAGGTATACAGAAAGACATTTTTAGATGCTCTTAGAGTAGAATTTGTAGGACTGCTTTTTGTTTCAATGCACACATTTGAATTATACATCTATTCAAGTTGGATATACATTATCAATAATTTTGTACCTAATTTCAAATTATGATTCACTAATCCACACAGGTGTTATGTTGAAAACGCTTAGAGATTTTAGCCACATTTTCCACAGGAAATAACAATTTTTCAAATATTTCACCACTTGAATTGTCTCTTCACACATTGTTGATTGAAGTTCCCAAAGTTGCAGTGTTTCACAAGTGAGCTTCAAACAGATTTTGCTTGCAACATCTTCCTGATGATTTATAATAGCAAGGCCACAATGCAAGCCCATGACTTGTATCTCATAACCCACAACTCCGCTTGCTTCATACAATTAGTGCCTCTTTAACAGCCGACTAATTTGCCCTATTGAGTATCACTGAACCACTACTTTTGGTTTCGGTCATTTTTGTCCATAGAACAAATTCTTAAGAGCGCTCAGCCTATAGAGAAGGTAATTTTAAATTCTAATTTTACTTGTTGGGTACAAATCCGGAGTTTTTCAAGTGTTTGGCAGAAGATTATTTGTATTTATGTAATGCGTTGGTAACTGAGTTTGATAAAAAGGTTTTAACTTGATCACTTTAGTTACTGAAACTATTAATATTTTTATAAGTTAGTGTTTTAAGGTATTTATTTTGTTGCAGGCAGAAGACTTGCTTGATGAACTCAACTTCGGCAGTCTTGGTTCAGAAAATGTAAAAACTGCTCAGTCTCTCAACCTGCCTTCAGATATTGATGTAAGTTTTATGTAACTATCATTTTATAAAAATACAATATTCACTTCCAAATATTACTTTATCTGACACATGTTTGAAAATGTTAAACACAGGAAACTAATTCTATAATACTGATAGATATTTGATACAATGATAAACATATTTTTAATTAATCGACTAAAGCTGCTGATGGTTTCAAATACTAATTTATTGAAAAATTAGTTTATTCTAACTTCCGGCTTTTGTCCAAAATTAACATCATGATGCTGACTAGCTTCGTTGCAAACGCAACATTATCAAAGCGTGAAACATGTCAAAACAAATACACAGAGTTGAGTCATGATAGCACTATCATTGTTAGTTTTATGTAATGTTTGTGTTTTATGTATATATTTATTTTGATGTTATGACGTGTTGCATTCTTTCACAATGTTGCGTTTGCAATGATACTACTCAGTATCATATTTGTTGATGGATATTTTGCATTATAGACGGAGGTTAAGAAGAAGAAACTTTACCTCACCAAATACTCTCTGAATTCTGTATTACATTTTGAATTTGTTGTAATTTTTCTGGCCTGAAATAGCTTTGCCCCAATGTTGAACTGCATGGTTGCCTTTTTTTCAAGTATTGTAGCTGTGGTTTGTGGAGATAGGTTTGATGTTTTGATATTTTTCGTGTGACAAACCGATTTAAAAATGAATAGTGAAGCAACTGTAAAAAGTTCAAGCTGTTTGAAAGAATATTTACATCTGGCCTGAGGGGACTTGCCAAGGATTGTTCTCATGAATCTTTTTGCCGGTAAAAATCTTACTAAGACATTCTCCTGATGTGTTGTTTTATCAGGCCAAAACACATAAATTCGGACAAGGGAAGACTGCCATAGTCTCTTATCCGTCTGAGGATAAAGAGATTGTAAGCCAGCAAGCCTTCCAATTATTTAAAATTTGATCTTCCCAATTTAGTCAGTTGTCCAGTATCACCCCCAGAGAGTCAGCAGTTTTGGATATTTCAAGCCAGATCTCCACTGGCTGTACAGTAACAATTCAGTAGCTCTACCCACATTTGTTTGCCATGATACCTTGTACCAAGACAAACGATTCTTATACAATACTCTTTTTGCAGGGCAATTCAGAAATGTTCCTAGAGCACTTGATAGCCCTGGGTAGTGCGGGCTCGACCAGTGGCAACAAGACTAGTCTATCATGTCCCGCGGACCTATCCCAGATCAAGCCCGAACATCTGTACTCAGAAGCAGATCTTCAGGCTGTTAAAGACCGCCAAAAGAAAGACAATCATAATATGAGTACGTATAGGTAGTGTATTTTAACGCTAAGGGATTTTATAATGCTAAAAGCAACAGTTAGTTATGTGGTTTTGTTGTGTTTTTCTAATTGAGTTGCTGTAAAGAGCTAATTATTGATTTATATATTTATAAATACACGATAAGATTTGTAGTATTTCAACTTGGTCACCAATCGACCTGTCAAGTTTTCCAGGTTTTCCTACATATTTTATCCATGTAGTTTAAGATCAAAAACTCTTTGAATTCTTCTATCTAAGATATAGACAATATAATGTAAAGTGCTCAGCTGTTAGACAATTCTTTGAAAATCAACCAAAGGTTTCCATACTGATTAGGTTGCAGTTTAAGATGAAAATGGAAGATGGCAAACATCTCTAATAATATACATTTTTGGATGTGCTATTACAATTGACCACTATTAAACTTATTTTAAACATAATCAATACAAATTATTTAAAACAGAACATTTTTATTCCAGTTGAAAGAAGAAGAAGGTTTAACATTAACGACAGAATAAAAGAACTGAGTACTCTCTTACCAAAAAGCAATGACCCGTGAGTATAATATATTCAGACCATAAACTAATAAAAAGTTCTCTATTGCATGGTACTTATTTTTTTCTAGTGAATTCTGATCCTTGAAGATATCAAATGTTTTCATGAGCTTCTTTCCATATGATTAACTATGTTTAAATTATATTCTCTATATGGACATTTTAAATTGTCTTCTCTCTTTGCTTACTGTATGTTATATAAAGTTTTTTCCAAGTGTTTCACTGAGAGGAGAAGTATAGTTATCAGGTATGCTAAGAATTTTATCAGACTGAAAGACAACATCTTTAGCTCGTTTGCTCTGTTATCATCGTGCTATGTGAAATCCTTTTACACACTTCTTGAAGTGTGAGTTCTGCTTTACTCTCTTTGTTGTATTATGTTGCATATGAAGCATTCTTCTTGTAACAAGAGTAAATGCTTTATATCAGATTAATACAATCATATATTGTTGCCTATTTAGTCATACGAGCCGCAGTTTTATCTACTTTTTGACGAAACTGTACCTTTAGACCTGTGTTTTTATTACTCTCACCTTTCTTAGTTTGCTGTTTTCAATGATCTGTTTTCACTGGTGATACTTAGATACAACAATTGTAACATTAATCTGTCCAATGTTAATCTTCCTGTAAGTTAAGTCCCTGAATATTGTGTTTTGATTGTGATTTTGTTGTGTTCCATTATGTTTTGTTTTGTTAGTTTATTAGCTCTAATTATTTTATGTGAATGTAAATTGGGTTGAGATTGTTTCAATAGATAAATGTAGTAAACCTTATTTACAAATAATCATAAATTTAACCTAAGGATTCAAAACCTGGCCAAATTGCATTTGATGATTGGAAATAAACTATAAAAATGTTTACTTTATCTTAATTAAAAAATGAAATAATCAGGTCAATCTTTAACCAATTCAAGTAACGGTTGGAATTGTACAGGAGTGTTCAAACAATCTAAAACTGTTTATTATTGTTTGTGTGTTTTGAGTTGAAATGTTAACAGTTTACAAAATGGGGGTGTTAATAAAAGGGCTTACTTGTATTCCACTGGACATGAAGTTTATTCACTTATTTTCTGTTGCCTTTAGATTCTTTGATGACTTTGTGGGAGATTTAAATGGAAAGTAAGTATTTATCATTCATAATTACTGTGAAAAATGAGTGGATTAAAAAGTAAATGATTTCCAAATCATTTCTAAATTCCTGGGCTACCCACTAATAGCTCTATTATTTTTATGTTTTATCATAGATTTTTTATCATTATTTTTATTATTGAATGTACTATGTCAATGATAAACCACACACTTCAAGGGGGTATTTTTATACTACAGTGCAGCTTGTTTATAACATTGAATATATAACACTATAGTGTTATTCAATGGTTTAAAGACCAGGGAAATAATGATGCTAGTATGCTACATCAAAGTTACACTCAAATTCAAGAAAATTAACGATGTAATATATATGCATGGAAAAAATTAATACTTTTAAAGGTATCAATAAAGTGAATAACCAAACATTTACTGATTTGTCTTGTCAGTGATCTTCATACTGTGAGTAGATTGAAACCTTCCATAGAATTTTCTTGATATCATGAGGTTTGGGATTTCACAAATGTTAAATCGTATGTTAACAATACTAAAACCCACATATTTGGCGAGACTTACATAACAACCAAGGCCATATAACCAAGCTGCACTGTAATATCTAGTTAGGAAAATGAACTAATTTGGCACTTCCAACCTAAAACTTATCGTGTGCGTTTATTTTGGCCAGGTTTTAAATCATAAGTCGCTGCCCTGATTGTTGTATTAATTATAAAAGTATACATCTAAAAAAGTATACATCTAGCCAGTATTCCTGAGGATTTCAAAATCTATTAAATATTACAGATTAAAATTTGATGGGTTAACCTTTTAACAGGAAAAGGCTAAAATAGTTAATATAAAATTAGAATAGTTTTCATGCACTCAACTATATTTTTTCTGTAGGGTTTAGTGGACCATTCATAATTTGAGTGTATGACATTTTTCTAATCTGCTAATGAGGGCTTTCTCAGTACATTCTGTGAGTTAATATTCCACAATTGACGGATTTTTAAATTGGAAAGTAATAAAAAGTTTAGGTATTATAATTGTACAAATTGGAGGTAGCCTTTTAGGATTGTTACAGATTTATGAAGTAGACTCAGAATCAATATTAACAATGCAAATACTGAAAATGTAACTATATCAACAATTTCTACTGCAATTGGCTTTGAATGTTTTATTACTGTTGCAGACATTTTGAGATCGTACGAGATGTGAGACAGAACAAAGGGACGATTTTGAAAATGTCAGTAGCTTATATAAAAACACTACAGAATGACCTACAAAAAACACGAAAAGTTGGTGAAGAACTCGCCTCACAAAACAGAGCTTTGATTCTTAAAGTTCAGGTAAGTCTATATGTACAGTTGTTAAAAAAATATATCATGAAACCATTTACAGTAGATTCATGAAACCATGTACCGTAGAAGTCCAAATATTCTCAAATTGCCTAGAAATAATAAAAAAAAAAAAACTTATAACCACAGTAATAAGAATTGTAATTAAAGAAGGCAGAAGCCGTGATAGGAGCAAAATTCAAAACCTCTCCCGCAGTCGTGTAGACATTGAGGTTGGCTTAAATTGAAGGAGAGAATGGTTCTGAAACTGTTTTTGTTTTGACTGTTGTCATTTATACTTATAAAGAATACCACCCACCTAACTGTGTAATTTAGTTAAAACTCATCTTGGTTTTACAGCAACTAGAGCAACATTTGGCCAAAGTGAACAGTCTAGAGAGCAACGAACTGTCGTGGCACTCAAACCACAGCAATGCCCTCAACAGCTACGCTAAACACGCTCCCATGCTCAACCCACCAGTAAGTACCAACACAAGCTAACCCATAGTATATAGAACAGTAGACAGCAACAAACTGTCGTGGCACTCAAACCACAGCAATGCCCTCAACAGCTACGCTAAACACGCTCCCATGCTCAACCCACCAGTAAGTACCAACACAAGCCATACCATAGTATATAGAACAGTAGACAGTAGACAGCAACAAACTGTCGTGGCACTCAAACCACAGCAATGCCCTCAACAGCTACGCTAAACACGCTCCCATGCTCAACCCACTAGTAAGTACCCACACAAGCCATACCATAGTATATAGAACAGTAGACAGCAACAAACTGTCGTGGCACTCAAACCACAGCAATGCCCTCAACAGCTACGCTAAACACGCTCCCATGCTTAACTCACCAGTAAGTACCCACACAAGCTAACCCATAGTATATAGAACAGTAGACAGCAACGAACTGTCGTGGCACTCAAACCACAGCAATCTGCTTAATCTGAAACCCAAATCAGGATACAATCAAATAACTCTTTGTCAAAGAGAAGAATACCTCCCTTCTGAAGCGTAACTGCGCCAGCGTTTTAGGATCAAGGTATCAGCTATGGTCACGGTGGACTGTAGTTCTACATAGTGTACCGCTAGATGAAAGGCAGAATGGGATACTCTCTGCTCGCTACTTTGTCTGGTTTACCTTCACCTCCGTCTTGAGCAGTGTTGTCTATCTCTCTCAAAACGATGTCTCGATTTGCTGATCAGTGAAAATTGTATTATCATTGTTGTCAGTCAGCATCCAATCGTCCACATCATTTTGAGAACATTTTGAATACTCAGTGTGCAATAGGGAGCTTCTATACAACCCCTGTTTCGCAACTAAGTGCTGAAGCAGTTTTAACATTATGATGTGTGTTACAGATGACCAGTGTGGAGAGTGCTAGCATCGGAGAGGGTTCTCCTCTGAGTCTCAGTGATGATCTCATGGATGATGATCATCCAGTGACAGGAGATCCGATGTTGTCTTCCCCCCACCACCTACCTCCGTCTCCGTCGCCGCCACCTGACACTTCCCATCTGGCCCACTTAGACGACATGGATATCGGACTGTGACCTCCGTGTTTCCTTCGTTGGTCTTGTAAATTACTGTTATCGTTTCATAGTCTATTTTTTTTTATCAGAGTATTGTTGTTGCAAACGGTGATAAAGGTTGGACTAAAAAATTTGTACTGTTATGTTTTTGTAACTGATTAGATTGTTTTTTGATGATCGCTGATCATTGTTGTTACTGGTCACTTATTTTGTTTATTTATTTTATTGTATGTTGAGTTTTGACATTTTATTCACTATTTATCAGATGAAAACTGCGATCGGCTTAGGAATCATTCCATTCAAAATTGATAAAACACCAAAAGTGTATTGAAAAGTTTTTTCTAGTTGTATGTATTAGAATTTGTAAGTTGTGTAAGCATGTATATAGTAGTACATAATATAGGAAATCAAATACATTCTCAGAATAAAACTGTTCTATATTTTCTCATTAGCTCTCTATCATAACCTTCAATCTGTATTTCTTCAGGTATTTTAATGGTTAAACCTATAGAAAATCTACCTACATCACATCACCTTTGTTTATGGGGTTTTGAAAGTATACAAGTCAATGGGAGTTCAGACTTTGCAAGTTAAGTTTAGCTAAAAAGTCATGAAATAAACTATCATTCATGAAACAGTACATTTAACTCATTATACGAGGGCTATTCAGAAAGAAAGGGACGTTTAGGTCTGACGCCTCTGAGCACGTGCCTGTTTGAACTTTCAAGTACAGATATTTTCGCCTCCTCCGTGACTATACAGCCGACACAGCAGAAATATTATCGTGCTGTCCATTGATGCAATATTCAAGCTGTAAATATGTGCTGTAAATCAAAATCCCGCTAGTTGGGAGGTGCGGTCTTAAGACTCAAAACTTAGACATTTGTTTTTGTATGGAAACAACATACTGAATTAAATTTCTGTTCAGAAGTGGGGCAATCGTCATCTGATTTATAAGTGTGCAATTGGCACATCTAGTAGTGGAGTCAAATGGAAACCTTCTTTATAGTTTCCATAGTTGACCCTTAAAAAAAGCTTTGAATAAATCATGTAGATAATTAATTTAATCAGATTTATAACACAACATCATTGGCCCAATTAGATAAAGTAGAAAGATTAGTCCAAAAGAGGCACTTTTTAGTTTTTACAATTATTTAAAAATTTAAATTGAGCAAAAATTTGTTTAAATACCCCTGCTGCAGCAAATCTGCAGACTAAGCGAATTTCAATTTACCAGTATTGGATTTTAAATTAAATCTATTTAAATAACATTATGTTTAACAAGTACCTAGGTTTGCTGCCACAGGGAGGGTAATAAAATATGTTTTTAGTAAAACATGAATAGCTTAGTATAGAATAAATGAAGTTTCCAAGTTTGATAAAAATGTATCCATAACTACAACAGTTTACTTATTCTCCATAAGAATAAAATGCAAATTTCAAATTTACAATTTATTCAATTTTATCCGTAACCAATAACCGCACAAAAGCACTCCAATATACTAAATTATTTATTTTTTAAGCTCTTTGAAATGGTGAAAAGAGAAATTGAAAAATTTTATGTTTTGAGGGTAAAAAATTAGAAAACCCAATTTTTATCCCATAAAACACCCTTAACTTTGTGACATATAGCTTACAATGTTCATATAGCCCGATCTTGCTGGTTTGTGAACTCATTCGAGTTTATCTTGCCCTACACCTTCAAGCCAAATTTAATCAAAATTGGAAAGAAATTACTCAAGTTTTCGGGTTCACGGACGTATATGGAGCGGCATGGTTATTAATCACTCTGTTCAACAAGGACTGGACTCATACAATCTTTTTTCACTTATAAATAAACTGTGTTTTTTTCTTTCATGTTGTCACAAATACTGGAGACTGTGACATGGTTAAAAGGTGAATTCAATTTGTGATGTAAAAAAAAATTATTTAGGGAATAGTCATTATTTTATATACAGGGTGTCCCTCGAGAGGTGTCTCAAATCGATTACTGGAAAACGGCTTAACGTACAAGGATGAAATAAAATTATTTCCAACTAAATCGACCCCAAGGAATAACGTAAAAATATTTTTAACTTTTTTCAAATACAGGGTGTGCCAAAAACTGAGGGTCACTAGTTCGAATCTAGGAATTTTCAAATGTAAACATATGTCATGTTATACATCATTTTAAAGGTATTTGATAGACAAACATTTTGGCGAAAACTAAAATTAGTTATCTTTTTCCGTTTAAAAATGGCGGCAGTTTTTTTGAAAGAAATCTATATTTTTTTAATACTCTGTATTTCCTATACCAATGCATTTAGCACTTCTCCGGTTGCATTTTCTTACTCGTTATGAAATTAGCTTTACTGTGATATGCAACAAGTAACGGTTTTTTGAAATAATAAAAATTCAAAAAAAAATATTTTTAAAAATTTACAAATGCTCATTGTTTAAAATTTTCAAATAGCAACATATGTCAAGTGGCACATAATTTTATAGGTTTTTCAATTCCTAACAAATTTGTAATTTACACTTACTTCGTATCTCTTTTAGTTTTTGTGTAAATAACAAAAAACCTAATTTTCCTATATCAAATGCATGTTATTTGGGTTTGACACTAAAGGCTTCTAGTGCGTGGAACAAGTGTAAAAATCTTTCACTTCCGGAGACCAGCACTATACTTTGGGAATCGACTAAATACATGTAAAAGAGTGAAAATCAGCCGGGAGGCAAGCTTTAAAATAATTAGGTCACGGGCAGTGACGTCATCAAAATGGCCGCTCATCCAATAATAATAATGTCGCATATCTCGTAAACCGCTTAACCAAATTTGACGTATGACATCTTATTTGGAAGGTCTAATCATTGTCTATAAAAAAGGTTATTACACCTTTAGCGGTTAAACCAACGGTTTCCTTGTATTTAAGAAAATATTAATTTTGTATGCCCCAAAAAATAGGTTTTTGCATTTATCATTTGGAAAAATCAAAATAATCTAAATTTACTTTCCACCGTTGAATCCAGCTTTAAAAGATGAACAATTTAGTATTTTGAATCATCACTCTATGTATATTGGTTACCTAGATATTGAAAGTAGTAAACACAGAACACTTTGTCCCCCATGTTATCCTTATGGGAAAAATAGCATTCTATATCTCAGTTATTTTTTAACGTATCTTAATACAACTTGGTATGTGGTTTAACCTAGTTGAGCTACTTGATAATGACTATAAAATATTTATATTTTACATTTACATGGCAGCAAACCTACATACTCATTTCCCATATTATTTATATGACGAATATTTATGCATGATTATTTATGAACATTGTACTGTACTTTCTCAACTTTTCCTTACTTTACAGCTTTAGACCTTTACGGGAGTTATCAGGACTCAGATTGACTGAACACTTGTAGGAATTATGATACATTTATTATTCTCAGAACTGTTTACAAAAACTATTTACAAATGACTTCTACTTCGAAACCCCATAGACCAGGACAATTTATCAGGCGGTCCCTTAACGTCATGGTCGATCGGCCCGAGACCCTTCTGTCCCGTTTTGCTGTCCTGGGTTCCCCACGTTGGTTCTCCTTCCTGACGCTGTCCGGTCGTAGCGACTCACAGAAGTCCTATCGACACGGCTCCTGCAGTCCTCCAACTGGCTCCGTCTCGGAAAATGCTGAGAAAATGAAAATGGGTTACTATCCTAAACGCAGCAGCTACCGTCGTTGTTGCCCGTTCCTTTGGCAGATGCAGACTGCCATCTCTCCCAGACAACTCTTTCTCTTCTTAAATAGTGGAGGTGGGCTTTCTCTTCATCCCCCTCCAGACAGATCCATGGTCCCGGGAGGCAGCTTTTTTGGCCACCGGGGACTTAAACTGAAATAAAACGGATGCCGGGGCTCAACTCGCCAAACAGCTGCACCGGGCTCAAGACGCCTCTAGTGCGGGGGTGTACCGGGGCTCACCATGCCTCTAGTACAGGGACGGAAAGCACCGAGCTCAACACGCCTCTAGTGCGAGGTGTACCGGGCTCAGCACGCCTCTAGTGCGGGGGTGCCGGGGCTCAACACGCTTATAGTGCATACCCCAACGGTGGCGCCTACCGACGGGGTCGGGCCCGGAGGCCCAACATGTCAACGTCCCCCAAGAATGCTCCTTATATAGGGTCGTAACTCGTAAGATGCTTGGAGAGTGGGGGTAAGTACCCAGTATCCGCCCCCGGCCGAAAATACTGGGCACTTTTCCCTAATCACTTTCCCTCAGTACTTTTCCCTCGGGTCACTGAGCACCATTCCTCGGTGCTTTGGTGTTTTGGCCCATATTACATTACCCAACCTTGGCCTTCTTAAACACTTCATTAAAACATATGCTGTTAAATCTTGACGTTAAGCGTTTTTTTTTATTAATTATCGAAGTATTTGAAATTCCCTGAGTATGCAAGTTTTTAGTACTTTGCAGGTGGATTTTGTATCAAATGGAGTGCAGCGTAATCTTGTCTTGAAATAGTTCGTGCCTCCGTCTAAATTATTTTCGGAATTTGTCTGGGGGAGATTGTCATCCCAGCATATAATATCAAAGCGTCGTTTTTTTCTTAGAAATTGAGACGAATCTTTTGACACCTCAAACGTTGAAATTTGCCCACAAATAAGGGAGGACTAGTGTTAACAAAAAGGGCTTCGCGTATTATATACAATAAATATATAATACAATTTTTTAATTTGTTAAAGGGAAATAACAGAGACACCAAGCCGTATTTCATACTATTCTTAAGTTCAATACAAAGATTAAATAAACAGTCTAATGCTATGTAATAATATGTTTAAGTGAGGAATCCACAGTCCAAAGCTGAAATGCATACTATTCTTCAGGTAGGGTAGCCACAAAAAAAAACAATCCATAACTATGTTTTGTAAAGCCCAAAATATTTTTACCCAAAAACAAAATTACTCTGAATATCATATTCTTCAGGTAACCACTTTAAAAATCTAAACGATCAATAACTATGTTTTAATAAGCACAAAAGACGTCAAACCCTATATGAAAATTACTAGAAAAATGTAAACTCAAAAGAAACAAAAACGACACGTTAATAAGGATTTTATCACGTTTCTTATTCAGCAATTGCGACATATTGCCATCAGATCTCTTGTCGGTTATCAGTCTGACCAACCCAGGAAAAAAATATTTCCCAAAATAAAATTACTAATATTTATAAAACCCCCGCTACAGTAGACCTGCATACTCAGTGAATTTCAAATGCTTATATAATTAATTAAAATTAAGCTCAACGTCAAGTTTTGTCAACATATGTTCATAAATAATCATGCATAAAACTTCGCGATAAGAATAACATGGGAAATGAGTATGTAGGTTTGCTGCTATGTAAATGTAAAATATAAATATTTTATAGTTATTATCAAGTAGCTCAACTAGGTGAAACCACATACCAAGTTGT